CCTTCCAACCCAAACCATTCTATGATCCCTGATTGTTAGACTCCAAGACCCAATGCTATAGCGCAAAGGCTTTGCAATTTGTAGGTCTGAAATGCAACAACTAATCCTGCAAAGAAATTAAAATCTCCCTGAAAAATGGGATTACTTGAGGCTGGCTGTAATGCTCAGGTCAGACCGGGAACCAAGGCTGTTAAATCAAACTGTGCCGCTGTGGTTGTTTCACTTGGCTGGCAGCCAAAGAGAGCTGCTTGCTCACTCTCCCCCTGCCCTGGGGAACAGAGGAGAGAATTGGAGGGATGAGGGTAAGGATAAAGATGGGTTGAGATAAAAAAAAATAACTGTAAGTTAATGGCTTTTCTCCTGTTAACGTCAATTTTTAAGCAATACCCACGTGTAAGACAGTCTTTACTCAAAACTGTGGAATTACATTAGGTAGGAAAAGAGGGGAAAGACATCTTAGGGACCTGGCCTCAGACAGTGTGGTAGGGCACACGCTCCCTGGCCCCTGCCCATCCCAAGGAAGAGGGTGACAGCATTGCTGAGCTGTGTACTCCACACCAGACTCCAGGACTGAGTGGTTTCAGAAGCTGCCCTGTATTCTGCAGTGTGTTTGTATTATGCAGCCCTCTGTTAAGTTATCAGCTATTTATTCGCTTCGCTAAAGCTGACCTCTTGGGTTTTTTTAAGCAGATTTGCCTTGTGAGTTGCACAGCTGGAGGCAGACAGCAGAATACTCACCAGAAATGAAGCAATTCGCTTGTGTTCTCCACCTCTACCATACTAAGGCCTACGACTACCTACGGAAGATTCTTCCCCTACCTCATCCTTACAGCCTGACAAAGCAAGTTTTTATTCATTCATTCACTCATTCTGAATGCATTTCCAGGTACTCATGTAGAAATAAGTGTAACAGATTTGTTCTGAAAACGTTCAGTGGCAGTAGTTATTCCCTGCTTTGTTTTAGTAACAGAAGCAGAGTGGGAAGCAAACGTCAAGAAATATTGATACCCCTCATCTCAGAGAGGTGGGATGTGTTCACGAATGTGGGTCACCGCGTGAGAATCACACATTCCTCACATTAACAGTTTTAGAGCAAGCGTGGAGTTCGCTGGGTATTCTGAGACTAGAGAAGAGCTACATTTCAGGGCATCAGCTGCTCTAGGGTCTGTCTCTGTTTTACTGTTCGCTGGCAGGAGGAATACAAAAAAGCAGAGGTGCTTTACCACATTGGCATGTGCTTTTCCCCTGTGATGTGCAGTGGAGACTTGTGAGAGGGAAGGGATGAGCCAAACAGTGGAAGGAAGAGCAAATAAGATAAAGGTCACCAAAAAAGCAGCAGCAGGAGGTGGTGTTAAGGGAACACCTGCAGTACTCCACCAAGAGCCAAAACCAGTGAGGAGAGGTGGGTAGGAATAAGTGGCAGTGGAGGAAATTAAATCAAATAGGACTATACATGGAAAACTTTGGGACTGTTTTCTGGAAAAGGGAGAAGTCAAGAATAGAAGGTGAAAAAGTTAAGGACTGCACAGAGCAGTCAGATTAGAGCTTTGATTTTTCTCACCTTGCCCCACAAGGACTCTGGGAAGTTAATGAATCATGACAAGCGTGTGTTTCAATGTTGGAGAAGGGAGATATTTCTGTATCACGTAACTTGGTTGCTCGGCCCACTGCAAGTAGTTATGCAGGCTCAGAATTTAGGACCTGCAGTGCTATGAGGCCCAGTAACAAGAATTTGTAACAGCACACAAAACAAAGGCTGAAGGAGCTCTCCCCTGACAGGTTTTAAGTCTCAGGCTCTTGTAGCACAGTTGGAGGATGCTCAATGGATACACACATTGTCCATGCCAGCCTGTGATGGTTTCACATGGTTTCCTCCAAAGGGTTCCAGGAGGTAGTGGATGGGGAGTGTATTGAGTGGAGCAGTACTCCACATGGACTGCCAAGCAACCTGGTCTAGTGGAAAGTGTCCCTGCTTGTGGCTTTCACATCTTTCAAACTGGATTAAGATGTACAGTGTGGGGAAAGCCAGCTGGGAAGAAGACCGGTCTGGTGTTGCCAGCCCTCTGCAGAGCCTGATTTTCACTTCTGTACTTGGTTTAATGTTTTTCCCTGTTCTGATCTCCTGTACATTGGAGAGGCAGGAAGCTGCTTTGTTACTTCCCTCCACGGTCAGTACTTTCACTTGGCTTCTCATCAGTAGGGTGAGAGAAAAGAAACTCATGCCTGTGCATTAAGAAAGGTGGGGCTGCTGACTTGATACTTGGTGCCTTAGCCTGCTCTCCAGCTCCAGCCATGGCTGACCACATCCTAAGTGCTAAAAGTTGCTGACTTGCTTCAGTTTTCTCAGAATCATCACATCTAATTGCATCCTCCTTGTTTTTCCAGTTGGCTGTCTAATAATGAGGCTGCTGCAGGATTCAGTGACGATATTTTTCTCCGCCTTCAGGAAAAGATGGAGAGAGGGGACCAAGCCTACCGCTACTGTGCCCTGATGGTTCAAGATGTGGCCCTGCAGAAGCAGCAGGAGTGGGACCCGCAGACCCAGCGCCTGACAGGCTTTGTTGACTTGGGAGCAGGTGTCCTTGATGCTGATGAAGCTCCACTGGCCTCAGAAGCGATAATCCTCATGGCTGTTGGCACCTCAAGTCCCTGGACAGCTCCACTTGGCTACTTCTTTGTGAACAGCCTGACTGGCTCCTTAATTGCTCAGCTCCTTCGTCAGACCATCAATAAGCTGAACCACATAGGCATCACGGTGCTGGCTGTGACATCGGGTGCCACCGCTCACGGTGCTGAGACCGCCAAAGCTCTGGGGATCAGGATAGATCCTGAAAGGATTCAGTGCACTTTCCAGCATCCTCCTGGCTCTGCTCACAGCATCACATACTTCTTCGATATTTGCCAGGCACTCCAGCTGATAAAGAACACTCTGCAGTGCTTCCAGAAGATAGAGTGGCTCGGTGACACCGTGCGGTGGCAGCATGTGGTGGAGCTGGCAGCTTTGCAGGAGCAGAGGGTATTAGAGCCATGCAGTCTCTCAGGCAGACCTAGGAGAGAGGAGAGTTACCACCTGAAGGTCAACCTTGCTACCCCCTTGTTCAGTGAGGGCGTTGCTGATGCACTGGAACACCTCCAGAAGCTGGGCCTGGCCTCATTCCAGAACTGCAGTGGTACTGTCAAGTTTGTGCGTTTGCTGAGCCATCTGTGTGACATATTTTGTGGCAGAGGTCCCTACAGAAGGGGATGGAAGGAGCCTTTGCTAGCTGGAAATTACAGCAAAATAAGCCACCTCTTTAATGAGGCTCAGAGCTTCTTCGTCACCTTAACAGACTCTACGGGGAGATACGTTATTAAGAGCAAACGCAAACTAGGATTTCTTAGTTTCTTGCTCAATGTTGAAAGCCTTAAGTGGCTTTATACCAACTACGTGTGTCCAGAAGGCACAGCTTCCCACCACATCCTGCCCTACATCTTCAGCCTGGACCCACTGGAGCTGTTCCTCAGGGCTCTCCAGCAAGCCTGCAGCAGCAGCCCCACCTGCAGTATGTTCCAGGCTGCTTATCACAAACTGCTGGCCAGCTGCAGCCTGGCCCCAGGCTCACCACACAGCGCTGGCTCAGGCAATACGAGCTCCTCAGACATATTCCTGTCTGGTAGGAGAGATCTGACCCTGGGCAGTGTTCGTGCTCAGTATAACCCAGCTTGCGGGAGGACACTGGTGACAGAGTACCCCTATTGTGCAGGCCTTCTTTTGCGTGGATCCACACCGAGTAACGCGCTGACAGACCTGTCACTGTACGCACAGGGCGTCACCTGCACCGCGGGCCGCGTTGCTGAGCAGTTGGCCTCTGCCTTGCAGTGTGAGGCTTGTCTCGCTTCCCTCTTTGAGTCAGATGAGAGCAGGCCAAGATGTGGGTCAGTGCTGTACATCAAAAAGTTAGGTGGAGTCAGTCTGCCCTCAGCAAGCGTGTACCACATAGCAGGAGTTACAGAACAAGTCCTAAACCGGTGCGGTAAAGTAGGAGACGGCAACAAAAACACCAAGCTATGGCATTTGTCTCTAGAACAGAAAGTCTTCCAGGAACTTGTGGGAGAAAGTCCCCTCTTCCCCACCCTCACGAACCATTTATTTGATGGGGAGTTGTGCGTCAACAATCACTACACAATCTTAGTAAAGGAAATAACACGATGTTACTTAAACATCAGAACAAGCCATGGCAAACACTTGAACTTGGAATACCATCGTGGAAGGCACAGATGGAAGAGACTGAAGGGAAAACATTTGTTTCCATCACCAAGTCAGTCAAGCCAAACCCATGCAGGGTCATGAGTACTCATTGCTGTTCCAAGGTTGGCTGTTCCCTACTGAGGCTCAGGGATGGCCACATCTAGGCAACACACGTGAGGAAATGATGTGTTGTCTTCCCATGGTTTGGCCAGAAAAACTGGTGTTAGTAGGTGGTGATGTGCTGGGTCACTGCAAACCATCTGATCAGAGTTTGGCTGAGCAAAGTGAGGAAGTTCATCTGATCCTGTGTTCCATCTAGCAGTGAGACTCATGGCAGGTCAGGATGAGCAAGGGCTGCTCACGATGCCTGGGGAAGTGTTAGGGGACACTGCAGAGAGTGTCCCCTGGAGATGCTGGGTGGCTGAGTGCTGCAAGGAGAAAATGGATGCATCTTCCAGGTGGTTTGGGGGGAGATCATGTGCGCTAGCAGTTTGATTTCACCAAAGCAGATCTGCTTTAAAAAAAGCTTGAGGGAAGAAAGTTTGCAGAGCTTTTACTTAAAAAGGAAAATAAAGACATAGAAAGAAATGGCACACTCAAGTTGAACACAAGCTCTAATCTCCACTCCTACATGTCTCAAACAGCTAAACGAGCTGTTTAAGTCTAGAACCCCCGAGGTGGGGACCACAATATCAAACTGCACCCCTAAAGCCCCATGTTGTACAAGTGAGGGAGTGCAAACAAAGCACAAAGGTAAGAGGGCAGCGCTGAGGCTGGCACCAGGCTGTTGTGCCCAGCAGCACCTGGGGGCACTGACACCCTCTCCTCTGGGCAGGAGCCCCAGGCACCAGCACATGGGAGTGCTGCAGCAGCAGGGCGAATGTTTCAGGTCCCACCAGGTCACCCACTCACCTGTGCCACGTGGCCACATCCTCCCAGAGCTGGCATGTGTCCCGCAGCCCAGGACACAAGACAGTTTCTTTTTCACGTGTTGTTTCCACCAATTACTTGAATCATAGATTGGATGCCACCAAGTAGGATGGACTTCTTCAGTCAGTTAATTTCCGTGGCAAGGTATGCAGTGCTTTACCTGGAACAGCAAAGTTTAGCAACATAACTGCTGCTAAATGGCTTCCCTTTGCCATGCAGAGCAGGTTGTGTCCGTACAGATGGAAGGCAACTACTTCTCTCAAAACTCTGGCTGTTCAGTTACTTTCAAGCTGCACGTTGAAGATGGGATGAAAAATGGTGATCCACTGTGTCCCAGGGCAGAAATAATACATTCAAGGTGCCATTTTGCCAACCAGTGACTTAAAACTGTACCTGGTTGATTTGGGATCTTCACTCATGGTAGGAGCAGAGCTGCTGCACTCAGTTCCTCAAGAACAGCAGTGCCACAGAACTTCATGCATTCCCTGCTAGGAGTAGCAAACCAAAACCTATAGACTTTTTTTCCCCACAGTCCAGTTACCTGCTGACCACCTGTACCCATGACCACCACAGTTCACACATCCTTTTGTAATTCACTGAAATATCGATGACAGAGGTTTTAAAGAGAAATTAAGGAAGTTCTACAGGGCTTGGTAAGATGATGTTTGAGGAAAAGCACATTATTAGAAAAAAGCTTGGCAGTTATCTAATTAACAAAGCTATCCAATATTAGAAGAAAGCTTGACAGTTGAATAGGAACCCTGTGCCAATTAACATTATTTTCCAAAAATACAGTTGCCCATGACAGATACCACTGGCTGCACTCACATCACAGGAACTGTCAGGTTGCAGTGCAATTTTTCACCATTCATAACTCCACAATTGTGACCAAGGGATTTTCTGCACCGCTCCTTTTCCCACAGTGTCTTTTGGACACCGCTTTCTCTTCACAGCAACTCCTTGCTCAGACACTCACTGTCTCTATGAAACACCTTCAACTCTTGTTAGCACGGTGCCTTCTATGAGGTCCATACAAACTCACCCCTAAGTCACTTGGAGCACCTCATTCATTCTCTTGGTCCTCAACTGCAGCCTAAGGTGACCAACAGCCTTCCCTCATGCAGCTGGTGTGCTAGGGGGGAAAAGCTCAATCCAGTAACATCTTTCATTCACTCAACATCCTAACAACGCTCCTAAGCCTCCCTGAGCATTGACCATATACTACCTTTACCAAGCTGCTAAAAAAACCCCAAAACCAAACAAACCTGACTGTAGAAACTAAATGCACAAAAACAAAACCAGGTTTTACTTTGCAGAAACAAAGCACAAGCTCTCTCAATTGACTTAAATCCTTAATGCCACTGAGTAATACAGCTTTGCAAGAGCTGCTCACAAACCTCCTCCCCAAGAGACGTAAAAAGACACAAAAGCCACAAGAAAACAGCGCATTGCATCCCGCTAACAAGCAGTCTGAGGCTCTTGACAAAGCTTTGCCTCAAAGTTTTTCCTGGGGTCCTTGAACAAGCTCTCTGTTAGCACCCTGCTGTCTTCAAGGGTACTGCAGAATGGCCTTGCACAGTCTTTCTGCTCCATCTAACTCTTGTCCAGCCAGTGCATGTGAAAAACCCCTATGCTTCCTCATTAAAGAGTTTAAAAAAAATTGAGAAATGACCATGTGGGCTCAACTTCCTGGTGCTGGCCTGGCTGACACATTTTGGCTCTTTCTGAATTGTGCCATGAATTGCTATGCATGACAGTACACCAGTAAACACGATCCTCTGGGAGGATCCATCTCAGACTGAAAATCCAAGCCAGTACTTGCATCAGAAGTGGGCCCAGTGTTAAAAGATTTATTTTGGTATTTCAGTGAAAATCTTCAGTGCTGAAGGAAAGGAGTGGAAAAAAAAAAAAAAAATCATCTTTACAGAATAGTATAAATGTTTATTTTTCTTTGATTTATCTGTTTTTATTTGTACAATATAGAAAAGTGTATTCTTTGAATAGGTCTAGTAAATATAAATTTCATTTTTCTACTTTCAGTTGTAAACAGAACTAGAAAATGAACCCTTGCCCCATTCCCAATTTTTTTTTTTTTTTAATGTAACTGGATGAACTTGACTGTAAATCTTGTCCAGCAGTTTGATGCAAATGGCTAAGGAAGTACAAAAACCAATTCACACATTCTACACCTGGGAGAGGGGAGAGAGGAATCCAAGCTTAATATTTGGGAAAGCTTGTTCCAAACAAAATAGAAGAACTAAAAGCATTTGATTGCACCTTCAAAGTCTTTACAAGCAAAACATTCTCAAGCAATGCCATCATACATAATTACAACTGTAATCTAAATTTCACAAGTGTTTTTGCACACTGTATATAAATACACATCACAAAAGGTGCAACTTAAGAGTAAGACACAGAATATATACAAAATTAACACGGGTTGAAGTCTAAACAAAAGAAGGCATATTGCAATCTGTTTGAAAAATAACGTAAGCAGGTATTACTTTATTCACTTACACTAATTTACATTTATACAAATCTTACTGGACATACTATATTAGGTCACTAGAAGTAAACTGAATATGCTCACTATCTACACGTAAAGTTACTGCACTGATTTTTTTTTTTTTTTTAGTAAATCAAAGTCCTAATTATGAAGAAAATGGCATTTATTTACACGAGAGGTGGATTCCCTTTTCAGAGATTTGCACAAATATACTCGCTATTTATGCTCAGAGAGATGTTGATGGCAGACAGGGCCCCTTCAAACAGTGACTGGCAGGGATAAACTTATGCAGTGGCCACTCAGTGGGCCCACCACTGCTGCAGGCCACCTCCCAGGCCCTTCATGCCCCCGAGGCATTTCAAGGAGGCACCAGAGAAGGGTGAAGGAGAAAGGGCCTTCTGCTCAGTGCACAGGACCGTGGGGTGAAGAAAGGAGTGGAAGCATCCTCCCATCCCATTGCCATCACACCCGGAGGCACTTAGCTCCGCTGGTGGTTTGCCTAGTCCCTGCCTTTCCCCAGCCTGGCCCTGATAGGAAACCTGGAGGAAGAGCTCTGCTGCGTTTCTCAGTATTTACAGTTTTACATGAGAAATACAAAATCCCTTTTGGAAAAACTTAGCTAGTTCAGGCTGTGGTGAGACAGGTAATAAAAATGTATGTGATTAAACATGGTTACTGACGTTCATGGTAGGTAAAGTAACCTACCAGGTTAATTTTGCAAATGCATTCCACTATCAAAAACGTGATCTGAGATTGCCTGTAACAAATACTGAAAAAAAAAATGCTCTGCCCTAGTCTATACACAGCTATAGTTGAGTCTCCCAGCCCCCCAGCTTTGTGTAAAAGCATCCACACATCTGTTTTGGCAGCAATCCTGATTCTGTGTTAGCATCCTCTCTGCTCATGGCTCTCATAATCATTCTAAACAACACTAAAAAAAAAAGGAGACCACCTTACGCCAAGTAAATTGCCAACATACAGAGAAACAGCACCCTGAAGACCCACAGCCAGGCTGAACATGATCCCTACCTGCGTTTGCAAGTCGATTCGGATGCAGATTGTCGAGTCCTCATTAAGACAACTGTGGTTTCACCGTCTCCTGTGACCTCAGCTTCTCAGACTTAAAACACTTTTCCGGGGTTACAATGTGATCCTAGAAAACACAGTGGACTGCACAGCCCTACCTCCAGTGAGGGATTAGGCTGCTGCAGACCTCTGAAGAACCAAGCTCCAGCAAAGCAACACCATCCATCTGCTGTGCTCTTAGGTAACACTGTACACTGGGCAGACAGTCTGGCATTATGGAGTGGCTGCTCTTCCTCACTTCTGAGAACATGCCACTATCTTAACCTTCAAGTTCCAGCATAAGAAACATCTGAGCTCTCAGTCACATTCCTAACAAAAACATTCCCATCAATTCCATTCGCCTCTAAACTCCTTGGGCCCTGCTCCAGTGAGATTCTCCATCACTTGCCCAATGCTGTATTGTGCAAGCCATCCCTCTGCATTATTGCCTGTGTATTTCACATTGCTCCACGCACTAAAGGAACATGCTGTGCCAGGTCCTAAATACAAGTACTACCTTCCATTTAAATGCTCATATTTACACTCTTCCTTTCAGAACTAGCTTGGATACACTGATCTCTCCTTATTATGGGCCTGTTGC